GACACCAATTAATAAGATATATGTTACAAACAATTATGAATATGAAACATTTTGTGATTTCTCAGTAACTCTTCATCCATCATTATTGACATGGTATCCTTGTGGAAATGAATTAACATACTCAATTAGTGAAAACACACTGATAAAAGGCCAAGGATACATGAATAGCTATCAAATTGATCAATATGCGCCTTGGAATTCAAAATCTAGTGTTATTGAATTTGTTGAACTTCCTGAATTGCTTAATAATATTGGATCGTATGCATTTTATAATCAGACCAAAGTAACAACTATTTCAATTCCAGAAAATGTTATATCTATTGAAATGTATGCATTTATGCTTTGCACGAGTTTAGAATCGATCACAATTCCAGAAAGAGTAACTTCTATTGAAGTTCACTCTTTTTCTGAGTGTTCGAGTTTATCATCAATGATAATTCCTTCCCAAATCAGCATAATTAATATAAATACGCATTTAATGGATGCCAAAACTTGAAATCAATTGAATTCCTCGGAGATGTAACAACAATAAAAAGTTTTGCTTTTCAAAATTGCTATGGTTTAGAATCATTTTTAATTCCATCAAAAGTCTCTAAAATTGAAGAATTCACATTCAATAGATGTTTTAATTTATCATCAATTGAAATTCTTGGGGATCTAGTATCAATTGGTGAATCTGCTTTTCGAGAATGTAGAAATTTAAAAAGATTCACAATTCCACCAAATGTTGAAGCGATTGATCGCTATGCTTTTTATCAATGTGCTAGTTTGATATCAATTATAATTCCATCAAAAGTCACAAATATCAGTGACTTTTTATTTTGCGAATGCGAAAACTTGGAATCAATTGAAATTCTTGGAGATGTAACATCAATTGGAATGCACTCATTTAATTAATGTTTTAATTTGCATTCATTATAAATACCATCGAATATTGAATCAATTGGAAGATCAGCTTTTTATAGCTGTACAAGTTTACTCACAATTGATATCAATTCCAACTAAAGTCACAACAATTGAAGAGTATTTACTATGTGAATGCAGCATTTTGACATTAATTGAAATTCACAATAATATTGATACGATTAAAACACAAGCTTTTGCTTATTGTACAAGTTTCATATCAATGACAATCATATCAACTGTTTTACAATACAATGAACCTTCACAAACAATTACAATCCCAACAAAAGTTACTGCGATTGAATCTTCATTATTCATTGGATGCATCAATATAACATCAATTGTAGTTGAAGGAAATTTGACATTAATCGAAGAGAGTGCATTGAAACAATGATCTAATTTAAATTATTTTTATTACAAAGGAACAACAAATCCTTCAATCAAATCTACTTCATTTTCAAAAACACAAATAGATGAAGTATATGTCACTAATAATTATGGATTTGAAAAATTTGGTGATTTTAATGTTAGTCTTCATCCTTAATTCATACCACCTTCAAAAACACCTTCGAATTCACCATTACAAACATTGTCACCATCAGCAACAATATCATTATTACCTTCACCAACAATATCACCATCACCAACAAAATCACCATCTCCATCATTTTCACCATCCATTTCGTGTTCACCTTCACTTTCTCAATCACCTTTTCCTTCGCCGATGCCATCCTTATCGCCAACACAATCAGTCGAAGGTTTGGCAGCTTCAATGTCTTATTTCATTACAATGACAAATGTAAGAACTGTTTCTTTTTCTTACACACAAGTTGCATCCAACACTCATGTGCTAATAGATGATCCAGATAAAGGAACAAAAATGTTTTCATTGAGTGAAACAAATGTATATAGACCAATGCCATACATTATTTATTCATATTCACAAACATACCGTAAATCTTATTTGAAGCTTCTAAAGCCAAAGGCAAAATTAATAACACCAGAAAAACTAATCGGTATTGTTTTTGGATCTGTTGGATTATTCTTCATTATTCTGGCTATAATAATTCTCGTTTATAATAAGAAAAAGGAAGTCAAAGCATTTATGGATGATGACATTTTTTCAACTTCTGATGACGAGATGGAAAATACGGAAACTGTTTTCTCTGGTTAAAGTTTCACAGATAACAACATTCAAGTCAATTAAGATGATTGATGGATTTGAAATCATAAATAATAATTAAAATAAAATAGAAATATATTAATATTTTTAGAGTAAACTTTTTTTTTCCTTCTCTCAGTTTTTTTTTAAAAAGCAAATCTAAAAAGATAAATTAAATTTACTTTTTACGAAAATAAATTTTAAAATTTTTTGTCAAAATCAATGCATTTTCTTTGTAAGATTAATTATATGATGACATAATGAATTTATTAGAACTGGCATGACTTATGAAACACATATAAAATATCCTAACACATTTTATATGGATATTTATTTGATGTTTTTGAAATATGGATTATGACATAAAAAAAAAATGTCATGACTGAATCTTTCAAAATTGAAAAGTTTACATTATTTTGTTTTCTTTTGGAAAATATCAAATTTATCATGTTATTTCAAATCCATACAACTTTATTAAAAAACTTTCATGGCTTTTGATAAAAATAAATGATTGTGCAGCAATGTACTATTATAAAATGTTGAAAAAAAAAAATGTCATATATTAAAAGTATAATTATTAAATTCTATTTTCAAATATACTGTTACAATTATCAGTTCAACCACAAAAAAAAGTTTTATACCCAAATTCTATTACTATTAACCAAAATTCAATTATTATACTTGCCAAATATTTCACAGATTCATTTTCATCAATATTTGATTCATTTCATAAATGTCGCTGCATTTTAATTACAAATAGATTTAATTCCAATCCACTTTCATTTGAGTTATGAAATAAATGGAAAAACTCTAAATAAATAGCTATAAAAAAATAAATTTTAATAAAATTCTTCTTTGATTTCTACAAACTTTTTTAATAGAAATAAAATAATTAATTGAAATTTTGTGAACAAATAAAAAAATGGCAAGATGATGAAATGACACAAAAAAATAATTCTATTTAGAAAATGGCAAAAACTCTGAGATCCTTTTTGTAAGAGAATTAAAAATGAGTGACAATCATTTGTGTTGACTAATGAAACTTTAAGATCTAATTTGTAATTTTTTTTATATAAAAAATATTTTTTATATAAATAAATGAATACATGATTATATAACAAGTAATTTTCTATATTACACTTTTGTCTAATAAGATAAAAACTGATTTCCAAAAAATATTGATGATTTATTATATTTTTTTCATACAAAAAATATTTATTTGTACATCATATGCAAATAAAAAAATATTACATTCATGCTCATGCTTAATGAATAAAGAATATATATTTGAATTATAAAATATGGAAAAAAATATATGAAATAAACCATTAACTTGGACCCAAATAGAATAGTATATTACACAATAACATACAAAGAGTGAAAAATTATCAGATAAATATCAAATAATGAAATTGTAAAATGATTTTTTTTTTTTTATTTAGCGTATGACTCAAAGCATGAGCCGATTGGTCATAAAATAAGTTATTATATTCAATAAATGAATCTTGTTAGTTCATTTAGATTGTTATCAATATCTACATTTTCTTCAGATAGAATTTGAAAATCGAGAGCTTTAAAATCAAAGTTCGTTGATTCTTCTTGAATGGTTTCTTTAACTTTTTCTACAATATAATCAATCTTATTTGGTCCTTCTATATTTTGGGGGATTTTTATTTTTTTGTATTTTTTGATTTCTTTTCCTTTCGCATCAAGAACATCAAATTCTTTATAGTCATCCGAAATCATGAAAGCCAACCTTGCAATCTTATCATCTTTCTTATCAGAAAGCTTTCTTCTTCCCATTAAAAATTTTTGCAACGACCAAACTGTTTTTTTTTTTAAGAATACACTTTCAAAATTGAATTAAATTGTAAATTGAATTATAATATAGTTTTCGTCATAATCAGTTATATAAATAAATTATATCTTTAAAAAATAAAAAATCTACATTTTATGATTAAACCATAAATAACACAAAATATTCTAAATCAATAGAATTATTCTTAAAATTTAAATTGATATTGAATTATATGGATTTTGAGGATGACATTTTTTTGTTTTTGATATATATTTATTGGTTTAAAGAGAAAAAAATAGAATATCTTCAGAAAAAAATGATACTTTGAATATTTAACTATCTAAATTATACATTTAGATTCATTACAAATGTGATATTTTGAAAATATATATTTATAAATATAATTATAATTATGATCATCAATATTTAAATGTAACACCTATGATTAATCAAATAATTTTTGTTCGAGAAAAGTTATGTCGTGTAAAAGATATTTAATAATGACTAATTATTTTTTCATTTAGAATTTAATATAAAGATATATATGTTATAATTATATTATATTCTTTTTCTATATATAAAGAATGCAATTAAAAGGGAAAAGGTAAATACTATGCCAGAATATTAATCAAATAATCAACATATTTTTTTTTCATTAATTCATTATTAAGAAAATTAATTACAAGACACATTTATTTATTGATAAAAAATGATGTTCACAAGTAATATTCTAAAAATATTTATTTATTTATTTTAATTACTTTTGTTAGGTGAAGTTGTCTACTGACTTATGATAATTTCCTGGTAATAATCATGAAGATATCAGCATCTATACCCATACTGGCTACATTAACAATCTTAACAATAATTGGAAATGAGAAACAAATTGGGAAAGCAACAATAGGATAAAATTCGTTGTCACCTTGAATTGAATGAAAGTTGAATGCTTATTTTAATTTTGAAAGTCATATTTTATTTTGTATTTCACAGTTTTTTGTTTGTTTTTGATACAATGAACATTCTTCCCCATTAAGTTGGATTAAAGTCTAAGTTTCTTCTTGAATTTTCTTTATATTGCTTTGAAGTAATATCAGCATTTGAAAAGAGCTGCAAAATGAAATATAAAAAGCAAAAAAAATCTCTTGGAAGGAGTCGAACCTTCGTAATGAGATTCCGGAATCTCATCTGATCACCGCTACATCACAAGAGATTGTTGCTATTCTTGTATTTTTAATATTTTTGACAATGAATCAACATATTATAATCAACTCAGTTTTCAGTTATTTCAAAAACCATAGTATTTTTCTTAAATAAAGAAGAATTATTTTAAATTTTCTGAGAATAACAATTATTTAACTATAATTAATAATACACTATCTTAAATTAAGCGTTCATTAGATTTTCATTGAGTTATTGATGATCTTATATAAAAGGCAAAATATTTGACCATATATGTATTTATTTGTTTTTTTAAAGTATTGTTGTTGTTCTTCAATGCACTCATCAAAAGCAACTAAAAATTGCTTCAAGTAATTTTATACAGATATTATTACGACATATCTTACAGTAAGTCTGAAAAATTTGAAATTTAATTGGCATCATATATTATTGCGAATGTTTTTTTTTTTTTTTTTTTTTTTTAACATGGAAATTATATTTAAAATATGCTAAATTAACGTCAGTAAACCTTTTATGATATTATATTCTTTTTTATTCATTTTATTATCTTCTATTCAAAATTTCAATACTAAAAAAATCTGAGTATTCAAAAAGCTTGAAATTGGATACTTTAAAAAAAGCAAAGCCGAGAATGGTGTGAACAATTTTGTTTGTTATTATTAGAAAAATATTTATTAATTTCAACATTCCAAAGAAGTTATGAAGCAATAATAGAAACAACAGAAGAAAAAGCACCAATTATCTTTGCTGTTTAAAAAAGGAAATTTTGAAATTGTAAAATTATTGGCTTCTCAACCAAAAAGTGATATAGATTCAATATCAGTATTTCAAAGGCTTGAATATGATTTATGGGGTAATAAAATTAGCGAAAGATCAAAGAAAACGCATAACGAATATAGAAATGCTTTGATCATTTCCATTGAAAACAATTTTTATGATATTTTCCAATTTTTATTATCGAAAAACATTTTTACTCAATACAAATACTCTCAAATTGATTCCCGATTTCGCAGATATTTAGATGACGGAAGTTGTGAATTATTAGAATATTATGAAGAATATGAGTAAAAAGATATATTAATTATAGCAATTGAAAAAAGGCGCATATAACATTGTTCAGCAATTACTCTCCATTAAGAAAATTGATCCAAATTCAAAACATATTAAATTGTCAACATTTTCAGGTTCTGAGAAAGACTATCAAGAAAAATCCGCTTTGATCATTGCTATAGAAAGAGAGAATATTGAAATTATCCGTCTTTTAGTGTCTATTAAAAAGACTAATGTGAATTCTATTCATTTAAATAGATATGATGGAGGTAAATATATTGAAGAAAATAATGCTTTAATCATCGCCACTATGACGAAAAATCCAGAAATTGTTCAACTTCTGTTGTCAAGAAAAAATATTGATATCAATGCCAAATATTTTCTAAAGTCTCCAAAGTCAGACTCTAAAATTTTTTGGTGAACTAGAAGTGAAAAAAGAGAAAACGCATTATTTAAAGCTGTTGAATTAGAAAACGAAAAAATTGTTCAATTATTATTGTCAATTCCTGAAACCAATGTGAATTCAAAACTGATTCATATCCAATCAAAAGATTGCATTGATAATAACAAATTTTATGAATATCGAACGGAATATAAATCCGAATTTTTTGCTGCTGTTGAAAAGAGAAATATAAATATTGTTCAATTATTTATGCAAAGAAAAGATGTTGATGTGAACTTTATTTCAACATTGATGTCGGATACAAGGATTTATAGATACTCAGAAACACAAATTAGTAGAAGTGAAACATATCTAAAATTTGAAAATAAAATAGAGAAAAAGACAGCATTACATATTGCTGTGCAAAACTGTGACACTAAAATAGTACAGTTATTGCTGGCAGATCCAAAAAGAGATGCAAATACTAAATACTCATTGCAGAAGGATCAAACTTATATTCAAATCAAGAAAAAGAAAAAGAAAACTTTTGAGCAAACAGCTTTGCATATTGCAGTTGAAAAACAAAATGCTGAAATAGTTCAGCTTTTGTTATCAATGAGCGATACTGATGTCAATGCTAAACAGATTAAAAACTCCATTAATGATGTCTGAAGAAAAAGAATGTAAACATCATGAACCTTTTGAAAATGCAAAAGAGTTAATACTTCAAAAGAAAAAGAAAGTGAAAAAAGTAATGTTTTCAAAGCTTTGTTTTCTATATTTAAATCTGTATCTTAATTAAAAATGATATTAAAAAAATAAAATCAACATCATTTAGCGATTGTGAATTAAATAGAGATTTCATAAAACTCAAGGAGATCAATTCTATTGAGCAAATAAAAAAAATCATTTTAATAGAATATGAGTATTAATTTTTTATGTATATCTATTTTCATCTATAGTAATACTTATTTAAAGCAAATAAAAACAAAACAAAATATTAATAAAATAAGTTCTTGATTTCATTTGACCTAATGATTTTTTTAAATTATTCTAAAATAGAAAAAATCAGTAATCGGCAAATAAATTAGCGTAAACCCATATATTGACATTGATATATATCAATAATTGAATTGTTATTTGGCCAACACCATTGAAAACAATGTTACATAAATAGGCCTCGCAACTTTTTTCTTTCATTCAGAATATTTGATACATCGCATATAATTTATTGAGATGTTAGGTATAAAATTCTATAGAATTTTATTTTCCTTTGAAAAAAACTCTCAAATATCTCGCGAATGGAATTGAGAGAATTCAATTTTTCTCAAAATATAAAGAGGTTTTGAAAGTACTCATAGAAATTAAATAATCTTGCAATAAATCAACAAATAGTTCTCCAATAAAGCTTGTAATGAAATATTTTTTCAGCACTATATATTTCTTACCATTCATTTTATTTAATATTAACAATAATTTTATTCAAATTCCAGGTTATTTTTTATTTGATATAATTTGTGTAATTTACTTTTTTTTTGTAATTGTAATTGCTTATTTCATTGTCAAATGTCATAATATCTAAGGTTTTAATTAATATTTTCAAAAATAAGATTTTTATGAACACATTTTTATAAAAAAAATAGTATCACAGGTAGTATTCTAATGATTTAAGATTATTTCCATATTTGAATTACGTTTTAACATTTTGATTTCATCTTTGTTTAAAGAATAAAATCACTTAAAATAATGATGTATTGAATGCTTTTAAAATAATGATTAATATAAAATAAACCTAATATTGATTCTTAATATATTGATTATTCTTCTTCTTGCAAAATATATATTAAAAAAAAATGAAAATTAAAATATTTTATTTATTATGAAAGCTCAATGAATATATTGAATCTAATAAATCAATATTTATTTTCCTTTGAAAAAAGCTAACAAATTTTTCGCGAATGGAATTGAGAGAATTCAATTCTTCGCAAAATATAACGAGGTTTTGATATAGCACATATAAATATTTGAAAGAATGTTATAACCAAAAAAAAATTAAGAAGTTGTTAGACATCTCCTTGATAAAATTGATTTATGAAATATATCAAAGCAATTTTTTTACTTATGCTTTTTTAAAAATATACTATTGAATATTTTTTCATTGAATGAAACATTTTTCTCTTTGAAATTCAGCTTTAAATTAATAATACAAAATGATATTCATATATTTATTTTTTCAAAAATAAACTATTTAATAATCTACATTTTTAATTCAAAAATATTGAGAAAATTTTCAGAAATTAAATTGTGAAATTTGAGAACTTGCGAGGTCTATTACATAAATATATATATATTACATCGGAACAGGTCCAATGATTTGAGAAAGGCCAATTGAAAAGGCAATAATAGGATTAACTTCTTTATGACATTCAACTTCGTAAACATGATGCTTCATCTTGCGGAGGATGAAAGTTGGATGATTTTTTTGATTCTGCAAAATCATGTTTTTCTTTGATTTTACTGGCATGTGGTCAAATTCTCCTTTCAATATTTCACGATCTTTTGTTTGTTTTGGAATCCATGAACGTTCTTCGCCATCATGCTGGAATGATAGGCAAACCGAAAATTTTTCGCCATATTTTAAATACTTTATCGTAAATTCCTGGTCATGAATTTTTATCAAATTGAAACCTTTGCAGTTTCTTACGATTTCGGTTGGATTTGTAGTTTTTTTTTCACTGATATGAATGGTTTCACCTTCGCCTATGTAAATTCGATCATATTTTTGTTTGGCCATGAAAATAATTTTATCGTCTTTCATTAAATAAAAGCGAGAGCATTTCATAAGTTGATTTTCTGTTTTAATTTGATAGCATATTGATCGCGATTTCTTTTTTGAATTATTATTTTTGCTTTCTGTTATGATTGGATTATTCAATTTGAAATGATATTGTTTTTTTATTGTTTGATTGCTCATTTGATAAAATAAAATGAATAAAAAATTTGACTTCTGAAAATTAAAAACAATTGAAAAAATAAACAAAAAGTTAAAATATAAAAAGAATTCAAAGCTAAACTAAATTTTTATTTAATTTTTCAAAAAGATAAAAATTTTGTTTTTAATTCAATTCTCACAAACTTGATTTTTAATTTCAATGATTATTTTTATAAATTTGAATATTTTATTTCATAAAATAGCTTTTTCTCAATTTCTTGTGAATATTGGCTTAGAAAAAAATATAAATATTAATATATATTTATATTATGCATTGTTTTTAGATTTAGTAATGAAATATATAAAAAATTTAATTATTTTTTTAAAGATTATAAATAAAACATTTCTCTTGTAAATTTAGGAGAACAACTTCCACATAGCATATTGAAAACAACTATGTGTTAACCAATAATGTGAGTCTATACTTTTTTTATGACCTCTATTTGCTCCAATTTCATAATATCTAATTGCTTCTTCTATATTTCGTTGAACACCATTTCCTTTTTCATTCATCAGTGCATAATTATATATTGCCTCTATATGTCCTCTATCTGCAGCATTTTTATAATATATCCTTGCTAAAACTTTGTTCATTTCGATTCCATAT